AGTGCCAGTGCCAGTGCCAGTGCCAGTGCCAGTGCCAGTGCCAGTGCCAGTGCCAGTGCCAGTGCCAGCGCGGCAGTCGAACAGAACAGTCCCATCCGTTCAAGCAGGGCCTGCGAATGGCGAATGTCGAGCACGCTAGGCTGCGTCTCCGGACTGGCTGACAGCGATCTGTGGATGACTCCTCTAGGCCAAATCCCACCTGCAAATGAACGATCCTTATGACTGCGCCAAACGAGCGGATGCAACTGAGTGTGGCGGTGCTACCATCCTATCAGCATTGATCAAGCTTAGCATCTTCGAGGATGTTCTCATGACGGACCGAGCCTCGCGACGTGCAGGCGTAGGAGGACGAGTGCGTGCCACGGATGTCTCACGTGCTTGCATCAATCCCGGCATTCTTGTTTCAGATTTTTGATTGCTGCTTTTGACGCTGCCGGGTTGCGTGTGGAGGAGCGTCGAGGCGGTGACGACGCCGAGTTCGCCCGATATCCGTGAGCCAGTGCAGATCCTGCGTCACGTGCTGATCCGACGCGAAGGACATCGAAAGCTCGAGGTGCGGCAAACTTGCGATTCTGAGCTGTGGCCGAAGTCCATGATGCATGACCTGGCGAACCACTGATGCGGCACTAAGGTGTAAAATGGGATTGATTATTGACATTGGGCAAAGTGTTGTTGCTAACAGACTCCGCGTCCTTCTGTAGTGTTGCGCGCGACTGAGCACGCTAGGCGATTGACTACGCCTGAGCAGATCGATCGAACGTCGCACAAGTGACGAATCATTGAACATTATTTTGGTGTGGCTGATGTAGCCAGGGCCGTGCTGTGAGAGACGGTGCGAATGAAAATTTGGAGACGAGCAGCGCACAGAATACTGATCTTAGTCCGCTCTCGTCATCGACATTCTCGTAAAAAAACCACGTTGACCAGATGTCGACACCTGCTAGTCTTGGACACGTTGCAGGCGTGACTCAGTCTTTAGCTAATCCCAATCATCGTCGTTAGCCCGGCTGCGATTTGTTGAGCCGAAGCCCAGGACAGGCTGACTTGCTTGTTGCTTAGCTCTCGGCGTCAAAATACCTATCACGCGAAGGTTGCGAAGGTCAGTTAGGCGACAAAGACAAATCACGTGACTCCGTACCAAGAGATGCCGCAAACGCGCGCGCTTAGCTTCGACGCCCAGCGTGCAGCGCGACTTACCAGCTCGCCCGAGTCTCCATTCCAAGACGCCAGTACCGAATTCGTCTTTATTGCCGAGGTCTTCGAAGCCCACGATCTGGTCGAGGACTTTGCCGCCTGAGCCAAACAGAACGATGCATGGAAGCGTCTGAATGCTGAGCTTGTGTACCAGAAAAGGCGAGTTGAAGACGCTGATTTTGAGGAAGAGGGTGCGTGGATGCAGAGGCGCGAGGAACTGTGGTGCCGAAAAGTGCCGCGTGCTGCAATGTCAGCCAGCGCCAGCGGCGGATGGAAGCGCGAGGAAAGCTGCGAAGGCTGATGGCAACTCACGTCAAGGTGCCTATCGACAATACCGCAGCGTTTGAAGTCGGCCTTGTAGAAGTGAACGACGACGCCGTCGTTTTCGGCCAGTTGGCGCATGAGGTCTTTCTCTGAGCTAGGCTCGGTGAACTTGCCGTGCGCATCGGTTGACTGAGCGAATAGGGCCTTCTCAGCTGCTCTGTGGATGGAAGAAAGAGCTTGATGAGGATTGGCAGGTGAATGATGCGTCGACGAGGACGAGATGCGAGCCAGCCGGAGGGAGTGTGGTGATACAGCAGCGACCGACTACAATCGCGGGCTGCTGCAATGTGACGCCGGCACCACAGACGTTCCTATGGGAGACGTTGACGCATTGTCAAGTCGTATCATTGAACTCACTCTTCTCTCATCTGTCGCAACCGCTTCTCCTTCCATTCTCCGCTCAATGAGTCAGCCTCTTGCTCGAGCTGTTCGAAGATGGCGTCGTCGTCCTCTTCTGCATCTTCATCGAGATCGTCTTCTTGTCGAGCACCTACCCTGCTTCTGTGTCCTCTGCCAGCGCCATCGGCATGGATGGAAGGCACGACCTGAGCGTGGTCATCTGAGTTGCTTGAGAAGGAGGGGTGGTACGTTGGTCCACTAGGTCCTGCTTCGTTGGCGCTGGAGCCGGGTGCGGGAGGAGTTGGAGCAGGGAGACTGGAGGGATCGGGCAGTGGCGTTGACATGGTAGAGGGAGAAGCCAGAAAGGTTGTCTTCAGTGGTGAGTAAGATCAAGTCTTGTTGATAATGCAGCTGCTGCCGCTCGCAGGGCGTCTGCGTTCTCTTCTCAGGATGCAGCACACGGGCTAGGCTGTCGACGGAGGTAGTGCCGAGTATGTGCAGCAGGAATTGCGGCGACCAGTGCCTCACCTTGCCGGCTGTCAGTTTTGTAGGATCGGTGTTGATGGCGAAGGGCGACAAAAAGAGGCTTGGGAAATTGTGGCCTCAGAGTCAAAAGTATATGGATGCTGCGAGTGCGCAGAGGCCTCGAAGCGCAAAACGCAGCATTCGCTAAACGTTCTGCAAAAGCGAGAGGAGTCCCCGCTGAAATCTTGAAATGCCTCCGCGCACCGCGGGCAGACAAATCTTTAATCGTGAATTTAATAATCGTGAATAATCACGAATCAACTAAGACCGCCATGCACGCGGCGCGTCCTTCAGGCTCAGCGTGCATGCAGGGCTGCTGGTGTACGCGTGCGTGCTGGGGAGACGCGTCGCAAACGATTGAGGGCGCGAGCATTCTTGATTGAACCTTCACGTGACCTTCACCTTCCTTGATCCCATCCTACTCACACATTTCTTGATTCTTGATTCTTGATTCTTGATTCGTGATTCTTGATTTAGGTTGCTCGAAGATCAAAATCAGTCAAATCAGGAATGGACATGCGTCTTCGCTGGCGACGACGTGAAGCCGAGCGCATGGGCATCACTTGACAGCCTTTCAACATACTCACGACTGCGAGCGACGCATGCCGTTGGGATTCGTTCAAGAATAGACCGACTGGATGCTTTACTATCCTCTCGTGACCGAGCTTTACCTCGATCATCTTAAGAGCTTAGAAGCAGCAGCCAGCTGCCCGAATCTCCCGTGAATCCACGTCCTCCGCGCTAAGGCATTCATTCAGCCTTTGTGGCATCGCTCGTGAGAGTTGCTCTTTCGCGTAGCCGAGGTCTCGAGACTCCCTAGGACAGATGGCAGATCCTGACAGCCCTTCATCACCTCAGCCATCATCATCGGCATCGCGCAATGTGAGCTCATTCCATTCGCTACCGCTCGGGACACGTCTAGTGCACCGGTCGACCAACCAACGCTGCACAGTCCGATACGTTGGTGCGATACCACCTACCTTGGGACAATGGTGGGGCGTAGAATGGGACGATCCATTGCGTGGGAAGCACAGCGGCACGTATGTTAACCCAGCATCAGGCGAAGCGAAGCAATACTTCACGTGTCGCCTGGAAGGAGCAGGAAGCTTCGTCAGACCCGACGAGCCTGGCAAACCTCCAAAATTTGCCAGAGGCGTCAGCTTTCTCAAAGCCTTGCGTGCCAAGTATGCGCCTGATCTTCGGCCTCCGCAAATTCAAGAGCAGGACAAAGTGCAATACACGCGCAAAAATTTGGCCGATATCGAGATCGAAACGCCCAATATGGATGGCGTCATCAGACGAGTGGGAAGACTAGACAAGCTCAGGGAGGTGGGTCTGGGAGGATGGAAAGGTAGTACGTCTGGAGGGCAAGACATCGATATGGAAGCTGCTCTCGATATAGGCTGCGCGTTTGACGAATCATCTGGCGAGAAGCCCGGTGACATCGCTCGCATTTGTCCCAGTGAGTAGCGCTGCATTGCAGGATCTACAGAGGCCTCAGGCTCTGCATGTGTCATCTGTCTAATCCTTGGTATCGCGCATCCACCCATTCCCAGACATTAGATCGCTCGACTTATCGAGATCGTTGCTACCAACGTGGAAAGACGTAGCATTCATCTGCAGAGAGTTGCGGCAGCTCAATACCCTCATATTACAGTGAGCGACTTGCTAGTCGTAATCACCTATCTCGTGAATCTCACTCTGCCAATCGTTCTCGCACGATTCCCATCATTGCAGCTTCAATCGCTTTGAGCCTCATCACTCGGAAGATGCGCGTGTCTTGCAGGGTGCCTTCGACAAAGTGACTGATCTTCGGTTGGATGGCACACTGATTGGATGGTCAGAGGTGAGCCTTCGTGGCTTGCCTACGGGTGTGGCGAGGCTCGCTGATACAGGCAGCCTTCCTTGTCAGATCCTTTTCCTATCCAAGCACTTCCCATCCCTTGAGACTTTGCAGATCGGTAGTAATGCGTTGGATCGCTTGTCGCCATCTGGTGATGTTCAAAGTCTGCTCGATCCACCACACCAAGCTTTTCCGCATCTCCGTCAGCTCAACCTGTCCAGCAACAACCTCGGCTGTTGGTCAGACATCTATCAGACGCTCAGGGATTTGCCTGCGTTGCAACGCTTGTACCTGAGCGACAACCGCATCGGCCGAATCGCGGTACCGCCCGATTTTGGTGCTGGCTTCCCAACTCTGCAGCACCTTACTCTAACCGACAATCCAGTCAATGAATGGAGAGATCTAGAAGCGCTTGATGACTGCGTTAAGGGGGCGCCTCGACATAAAGATGCTGCTGCAGAAGCTGAGACCACCTTGCGCGGGCTACGCAGCTTGACTTTAGCAATCAGAGCCGGTTCTGTTGAGTACGAGGCCTCAAGTGCAAACGAGCCGCGAGGCACACGCAATGACAAGGATACAGTCTCACCGCAATCATCCCTCGGGCGACTGACAGGTACGTCATTGCGCTTGCGATATCTTCCCTTGGCCAGCATCACGTCAATAGCATACGCGCTGCCCAAATGCGCTGACTCTGTCGCATCGTGGTCTGTTTCGTTAGATCTCCAACCAGGTGATATCCGACCGAGCATCATCGCTCGGCTTCCGCGCCTAGAGATGCTGAACGGGTCTCCAATATCTTCTAGCGAGCGCAAAGATGCCGAGCGGTGGTACATTGGGCATGTCCAACGACAGCTTACCGAGGCGGACGACGAGCAGAGAACGCTATACTGGAGACGGTACGCGCGGTTGGTGCAAGGTAAGTATCCTTGTCGTGTCAAGTGCTCCGTAGAATGGTCACATGCTCATTGCTCCAGGTCCTTCTTTCCTGCTGGTGCAGAGCATGGAGCCCCTTCTTCGCTACCAGACGCCGCGAAGACCACCAGCACTCTAGGCAGCAAACTTTTGGGTGAGTGGTACCCGTCAACGTACCTCGATGAAGCGTGCAGCGCCAGAGCCACAAGCACTGATGCCTCACCTGCTTCATCATCCAGAGCTTCGCATACAAGCGTCATTATCGGTGCCGATCGCCCACTTTCCGCATACAACACCAACGAGTATTCCAGATTCAACCATGCGAGTGCTACGGAGCACACCGATCAGGCAATTGCGCAACAAGTTGGCCAAGCAGCTCAAGATTTCTGGCGGCGCCACGGCTATAGAGTCTGTCTGGGCAATGCTCGCAGAGGCGGCGCATCCAGATGAAACTGCTGCTGAGGCGGGCAACGGAAGAGGAGGCGTGCAGGAGAGGATCGTCTTTGAATTGGATGACGTCGCTAGGCAGCTCAGCTGGTATCAGTTGTCGAGCGGAGACTCGATCATTGTGGTCATCGACAGCCCTTGAGAGAGACGAGACAGAAACGACTCTTTACTTTTGTAACATATTGCTATACCACTGTCACATCGCAATGTCACTGGTTGTGCCAGCACTCGGCTCCACAGATCCTCGTTGGCTCGGAGCACGCGTCAAGAGAATGATATTGGCTGTATGATGCAAGTAAGTAGGACGCAACGGCGTCGGCGGTTTGGGGGAGCTCTGATGGTAATATACAGCAGGAGATAGAGCAAGCTAGTATCGATATTAGGTCAGCGAGCCAAGAGGCAAAGATGAGGGACCATGGGATGCAAGGGTGGGCGACACGTTGGGAAGGCTTAGAGAGGGTTCATTCGTCGGTGTCAGCAAAGGCGTCGAGTCCAGGTTGGCAGCGATGTGTATGCCGTCTGAAGAAAGAAGCCTGAGTAGAGTTTTCAGATCCCAGTAAGGCCCAGCTCGCCCCAGAGCGCTTCGTGGGCAGCTCTGCTTACAGGCTGGGCAGGCTGAGCTCGGTTGGAAGGGCGGTATTGGCCAGGATTGAATCGGTCTTCGGGGATCTCATCGCGCTTGACGATGCGAAGCGCCTGCGTTCGCGCCGCTGGAGAACGAGGCACGGTTTTAGGGGAAGGAGCTCCAAACTCCAAGCCAAGACCGAAGCCGAGAGCGGCAGCGTGCTCTTCCTTGCTCATCGAGTGGTCGCCGTCAGGAGTGTGTGGTGGAGTGATGGGCGAATGACTGCGCGTTTGGTGACGCGGCATGCCGGCAGCGTTCGTCGTGATGGCCAAACCTCGCTTGCGCGACTTGGGAGGCTTGCTCGGCGAGACTTTGACAGGCTCGTGGGGGGAGGGAGCTCCGCTATGCAAGAGGTGGGCACCTCGAGGTGGGCTTTGACGACTAGCAGCGGCGTGAAATTCGCGGTTGATGTTCTCTGAGTCGAGGTTGAGAGGCAAACTGAGATCCAGCTCAAGAAGTGGTGACTCCAAGCGAGTATGAAGGGGAGGCGAGGGTCGCAAGACGCCTGGCGAGGCGAAACGGGTCTGCTGAGGCCCTCCAGAGAGGCGAGGAGTCTCACAGTCATCCTCATCGTTTGCTGCACCTCTGTCTGCTCGAATTGCGGCGACACTTGGATTGCTGACTGCAGCGCCAGATTTGCCATGAGTGCGGGTCGCAAAGTATCCTTCCGAGGAGACTCCGAGGTCTAAAATGCTGCTGCTGGCAGTGAAGGCGCTGACTTGGCTAGAGCTAGACGTCATGCCGTTGCTGACGAGCGACGGAAGGCTCGAAAGCGCGGCGGAAGAAGCGACGCTCGCGGGACTTGCTGTTAGAGAGACATCACGTGTGATGCTTCGTGCAGGGCTCGACATGGGACTGTATACCTCACCATGCTGTCCAAAGCCAGCGCTGGTTAACGAAAAGGTAGAGAGGCTGCGAGCCAGCGCGAAAGGTCCCTCGTCCTCAATGCTCGAGGCAGCATCCTCGCTGAACTCGCTGAGGTCAGACGTGGACGGAAGACTCGGCAGCGCAGCGCGACGAAGCACTGTCTTGGGGGATGTGTGGTAATGTTCATCACTGGAAGGTGGACAGTAATCCTCGAAGTTGGCTGCGGCCCAAGTGTTCTGGTTGATAATGACGGTGTCGCGATGCTTAGAGGCGAGAACACTACGAGGAGAGGGTCTCGCGACTTCATCGGTGTGTGGGAGCACCACTGCTCCGTCGTAGACGTCGGCTTCGTCCATTTCCTCCACGAGGCCACCGGCCGTTACTTCAGGGCTTGGAGGCTTTCCCTCGAATGCTTCTTGCGCCTGCGAAGCGAGATCCGGCGTGGGGGGCATGACGTTGACGACCACTGGAAGAGCGGCTCCGCGTTGAGTTTGCTGGGTGGCTGCATCATCAGTGTAGCCATTGCGCAGTGGCGAGTGCGTGATCGGCAGAGATGGCGAGTTGGACGAACTCGATAGTAGCGAGACAGACGATGGCCCTTGACCAAGGCGCGGACTACGAGTCGTCAAGGTGGGGCTCGCTACTGCGACGGCTCTAGCACCATTGCGCCCTCGATTGAGGTTGACTCGACGCGCCGAACGCGTTTGCACTTCGACAGCCTGACCGTCGATAATCTCAATGTCAGGCTGCGCTGGCGTGCCTTCAGCGCTGGCGGGATTGCTTGTGTCGCCGTCACGATCCCAGGCAAAGAGTGGAGAGAAAGCCGCCACTTCGTCTGTTAGAGGAGTGAAGACTGGGGGCAGACCAAATTGACTAAGGCGGGGTGGAGCGCTAGACATGAGAGCCCCAACGCTGCGACTCCGACGACGCAAAGTCTTGTTCTGATTGTTTGCATCCAAGTTGCCGGCCGAGTTTGCCGTGGCCAAAGGTGCGTCCATGCCAAACCAAGCTTGATTGTGCTCTTCGTCAAGCACAAAAGCGCTGCCACTCCCACCAATACGTGGACTCTTGAGGATTGGCGATTTCAGGGATTTGGGACTCATCGCACCTCCATAGACGCTGTCAACACCGGCTCGTCGTGCGCTACCACGGCCAACGCTAGAAATGCGGCAACGTGCTCCGGAGCCCCAAGAGGTTGTGCTCGTCGATGCAGTCATTCCAGTGGATGTCGAATTGGAGGTTGACAATGTACCACCGCTCTCGGATCCTGGGAGAACGTCGAAATCGCCGTGTATCGCGGGAAGCACTGGAGCATTTGATGCTGTCTCATAATTGCCGAAAGTAGCCACGCTGCTAGGATGGCTCCACTCTGCGCCTGCATGGTAGTGTTCGGCAGGGGACTCTTGGGGTTGAGCTTGCGCGCGTCGGACTTCACGCAGCGTGGGCATGCTGTACTTGCGGCCAAGCCAGCTGCGATTGGTAGAGGAATTGATGAAGCCTGGTTGCCTACCGCCTGCTCCTCGCCCAGCTGGCAATGAGATCTCCTGAGCTGTCTCTTGTGAAAGCGCTGAGTCGCCCATGGTCGAGGGACCGGTCATGGCACGCACTGGAACAAATCGAGCAGGAACAGTGCGGGTAGTTGTAAGGTCCGCGCTCGAGGGGTCGAGTGGGGCCTTGTACAACGTCTGAACTGCGGGTCTGGTCCGGGAGACACCGATAGAGTCCGCAAAGCTGGTCACTGTTGGGGGCGCGCTTTGCGGCACCGAAGGGCCAATTGCCGAAGTGTCGAAAGCAGGCAACGGAGGAGGCGCACCTTTACCCGACCCGCCCTTGCCCGATCGCTTCCAGGAAAAGAATCGTGAGAGAGAGGAGCCATTCTGAATTTTGTTCGAGTAGCTCGACTTGCCGCTTTCGCTCGGGCGACGTCCCGAGAGGCTGGGCCTTGGTGTAACGTCCCTTGACGAATCCTCATCAGAAGTGATGAGATCCAAGGAATGAGCGAGATTTTCCTTTGGCATAACAGGCACAGGGATGTTCGTGTCGGCGCTGTCGGATCTACCTGCAAAAATCTCCTCCATGGTGAAAGCTTCGAGTTCGGGCGTTGGGCTTTGAGTCCACGTCTTGTCGACGATACGCGCAGGAGATTCTGCATCCTCATCACAAGTCTTCGCGTTCCAAGCTGCTGGGCCCGCGAAGCTCTTGTATGCCTGCCGCGTGCGCTCTCCGGCCGAGGCAGGTCCACCGATGCCCCATTCCCGCAGAGAATCATACTCGTGGCTGTGGCTTTCAGCCTCGTAGTCTTCCAAGTCCGAGACGGCCTCTATGCCCATCGCATGCGCCGGATTGAGCATCGCTAGAGATGCTTTGGACACGACATTGATCTTGTCTTTGCGCGTCTGACTGCGCACAGGCTTTCCGCTCCGTTTAGCCTTTGTCGCCGAGCTCGTGCCAGAGTCTGACATGATGCAGAGCAGGCTACAATGATATGGTGTGGGGTCAGCCTCGACTTGGTGGGCTGCGAGAAAAGAGGCCTGCGATCTATCGACGCACCTTGGTCGTCGCGCTTCGTGCTTTTCGCTGATGCTTGTCGTCTAGATGAAGGGAGAGTGTTGGCAAGCGAGAGCTAGGTATGCGAGCGCTTGTTCATGGGAATCGAGCAGAAAGTGAGGGGAAAAGGAGAAGAGGGAGTAGAATGAGGAGAAGCGACTGGAGTGAGGAGGTAGAAATGATGGCGTTAGGGGCAAGGCGTGTCAGGCACGTCCAAACGCTGGTGATGTGGATATAAAGGGGAAGCTGGTGCGACGAGGGACCGGGAGCGATGCAAAATCTGCTTGGCTCAAGGCCACACAAGGCGAGCGGTCGAGGAGTTGAGCGACGGTGCTGCAAGCTCCGAAGACAGCATCCAGAAACAAGAGCTTGGTCATGATCGATTGATTGGGCGATAGGGCGGCGCATGCGACTCCGCACACTGTATGAGCCCAAACAGCAAGGGGCTGCTTAGTCTAGTGTGTGGCCAGACTCGTCCAACGGTCCGGATCGAGACGGAGATCACTACATCATCATGAGCGCCTTGAGGCCTCGCTTACTGATCTGGATCTGAGCACTTGCACAAGCGGCGACTAGGAGGGCGGGCAGACAGCACCGCGAAAGGGTGGAGACAAGCTCCATGCGTGCCAGTGTGCGTTGTTGTGTGTTGCGCCATGCTGCGCGGCAAAGGGCCGTTGCAAGTCGCAAGGGTCTTGAGAGCAGGCATCGTGCACACAGATCTTCCTGTGCCTGGATCTGCTGCTGTGCAGGCTCCTACCGCCTCACGTATGGTATTCAGATTTGGGGCTGTCGAATAGGCCGAAGTGAGCTGGAGCTACAGGGATGATGATGTCGTTGGCCGTTGGAGAGGCAGGCAGCAGATGCCCTGGCTGCAGCACGACGGGGCTCAGCAGCGCACACGCCCCGCCGCATCTTTCCAAACACCAGCACAGGAGAGAGAGAGAGCAACACAAATCGCATACCGTACCGTATATGCAGCAGAGCTGCTGCAGCAGCAAGCAAGCAAGCAGCACGCGCGTCCAATCACCAATCACACGCGCATTGCGCGGCCAACGGTTCTCCTGCTGCTGCTGCATGCATGTGCTGCTGCTGAGCGCGTGTCAACGGCTCGATGCTGGCGTGAAGCAATCAAGCACCTTGCTTTTGCCATGCGAGATCAGATCACCTTCATCTGAACGCGCCCCTTCGCCTCCCTGGCTGATGATGATGTTTGCTTCTCCGCACTTTTTGCCGTTTGCCGAAAGACTCTTGTCAGCATCCGATGCTGCTTCGAATTCGATACTGCACAATGCGCGACCTGCCCGATCGAGCGGCTGCCACTTCCCCTACAGCCAGCCACCCATGCATGCAACCGCATCTGCTGCTTGTGCATCCCGTCGCGTCGATAGGTTGAGGCAAGTCCTTTCCCCCCCTCTCGATGCTAACCTGACCTGTATCCCCCTCCCACAGCTGCATGGCACCCTCGTCCTCAGTGTCCACCTAACAGCGAGACCACCTCGATCGGTGCTCTCCACATGCCCTCGTAGACATCTTCTGCGAATACCGCGAGACCTTTGCTTCCGCCGGCAAAGGCAGGTGGCGCTCGGGCTCAAGCACAGCAGATCTGCTGCGAGCTGTACCTCGAAAAAGCCGACGTGAGGCTCCAGCCCTACTCGCGCGTATGTCCCTGCTTTGAATCGAATGCGTCCGAGCAATCTATCCGACCGACCGATCACTCGAGTGTCCAAAGTCAGGGGCCGCCATTTGTCGTTGCATGGTCCTAATCCGAACCTTGACAAGATGCCTGTGGGTCTGGTGTCGCGCACGCGTCCTGCAAGGGGTCGACCTCTGGCACGCGACGCGCTCGCTCCCTTTGCCTCAGAGCTACTACTGAACGCTGCCGCCCTGCAGCAGCAGCACCACATAACAGCACGAAAGTCGCGATCGCGAAGAGTCACCAATGCTTGGGTCAGGCATGGGTCTTTCCTTCATCGGGACACGCGCTTCCAGACAGGCGCACAAGTCGAGTGTCGCACGCATTCACCTCGTTCGAGATTGAGCTGACAACCAATCTGAATCGACATTGAACAATTGGAGGAGCGCGGGCAAAGACGACGTGGGGTGCGGGAGCGTAGCGGTAATCGAGGGATGGCGAACAGTGGATACAAGTACAGTGTGACTGCAGAAAGTGCATATGTAGCAGGCAAACAAGCACCTCTTCAGCCCAGCATCGGAGGTCGCGAAGTTGGCCAAAGACAGCAGTAGTAGTAGTATAGTCCGGCGAGAAAGTCTTGAATTAGACGTAGTAATCCCGTGTGGGTCTACAAGTCGCGCTAGATCTCAGAGAAGGGGTGTGAAGTTTCCCAGGACTTCCGTTCGGCGTAGCATGTCCGCAAGTCGCGGGCTCGAGCAGTTTGCTCTTGGCAGCTTCCACCCGGGGGCTACTGGAGAGGGTAGCGAGATCATTCTCGATGGTCCGCCGAGGTTTTCGTCGAGAGGCGGAAGATGCAGCAGCTTGAGCATCTGATAAAGGAAGAGGCTCCGGTCCACTGCCCGATATATGCGTCCATCCGCTCGCACTCGATGCGTCCTTCTTGGGCGAGCTGGGCAACAGACCGAGACCTGTCGGTGCCCTGCCAAACGTGTGCGCTCCGTAGTAAGGCGAAGAGCTACCATTGTGGCGCGAGTAGGCCGAGATCGTGCTGCCAGTCCTTCGCAGAGCTGGCGAACCTTCGTGCAGAGGAGCAGTCAACGAGAAACGTTCTCGAAACGGAGAAGAGACGGCTGCACCACTACCAGATGACAGCCGCTTGCGTCCGTTGTTCAACGTCACCTCTTGCAAATGAGGTTTGCCAAGTTTGTCGCCCTGCCTCGGGACTTGCGTGGGCTCCAGGTCACCGTCCATTGCGCTCTCCTTCGAAAGCCGTTCGATGATGCTTTGTTGGGCAATCAAGCGCTCCTTCCACTTGGCCACGCTGCGTTCCAAGTCTGCCATGATGGCTCTCTGAGAAGCAATGACAGCGTTCAACCTTTCGATCTCCTCTTTCTCGGCTCTGACCGCCGCTGCCACTTCTCGCTGCGTAGCTTCAGAAGCGCAGGCCGCAGATAGGTCTCCAGCGGCAGTGCTGGCGGTGAAGCGAGACGCCAGCCCTGCTCGTCCAACGAACGGCGACTCGGTCGGAGCGTAGCGTCGATACTCTCGAAGAGAGCCTCCACGATTGAGTGCTTGAGAGCCTGTGTTCAAGGTGGTGACCTGAAGCGCCCCAAAGCGGTCATATCGACGTACAGGCGAGGCAGGTGCTTGTGGCAATGCCGCCTCTGCAAGAACAGGCGACGAGCGGTGAACATCCACTCCTACGTCTGCTAGCTTTCTGGGCGTGCCAGGGATTGGCGTCCCAGCAGCTGTGGCGACAGAGAGTCGTCGACCTCGCACTCGAGCCTCGACCAGCTGCTTTTCCAGAGTAGCGATGCGTGATTGTTGCACCTCGACTTGCACCTGAAGCTCGACGATAGTAGCGCGATCGTCCACACTGAGCTGCTTCATCGAGCTAGGTGGTGAGCTGGTTGTTGTATTTGTCAGCGTTGAGCGATTTACGATATCGAGCTGACTCTGCAGCTGCTCCACGTTGGTCTTTGATTTATCCAGCTCGGACTGCAGACTCGCAGTCTGCTGCTGCATCCCAATGACGCTCTGCTCCAATTCTCGAACGCGTGCTGATTGATGTGCGGTCGAAGCGATGCTGGGCGAAGTCGGGACAGGCAGCGCTCGAACGTTACTTCGCATAGTCTCGATTTCCTTCGCTTTCTCAGCGACTGCCGCTTCGCGAGCTGCCACTTCCTTCTCCCTTCGTTCCAGGGCAGCTCGAGACCCGGTGCTCGGCGCAGCGTTTGCAACAGTCTCTGCACCGCCCCGAACAAGCTGCTCAAAATCGCGCTCAGCGTTTTCGTTCAGAGTAGCCAGCCTAGCGTCCGAAAGCTCCTTCTGCGCCACAGCCAACGCTTCTCGCTCAGTGGCCAACTCTCTCGTGAGTTCTGCTGAGCGCTGAACGGAGGTTTGCTCTTGCTGTGCCCTTTGCGCTCTGAGCTCTTGCACATGCTTGGAATGTGTCGCGGTAAGCTCTTCCCTCAAAGCAGCCAATGCTGCTTCGTGCTTCTGCTGCAATTGTCGGACCAATTCAGACTCCTCTGTAGGACCCTGCTGACGAGCTTCCTTGCTCTTCGCAACCAATTCCAAGATCTTGTTGGCCTCCCTTGCTTCTCTGGCTTCCATTCGTGCTTGCTCTTCCCTCCTTTCTGCCTCGGAAAAGTCGACCTTAGCCTGCTTGCACCAAGCATCAGCCGCATCTAGATCTTCTTCTAATGCACGATTAGTAGCCTCCAGCTCCTTTGCACGAGCTGTAATCTGTTCCATTTCGACGCGATGCGCAGTCTCAGAGTCTCGCTTTGCCGAGTGTGCATTTGCAAGCTCTCGTCTTAGAGAAGAGAGCTCAGCTTCGAGTGCAAAAGGCCGAGGACCTGCTGGCAACGCGGCAATCGGAGAATTAGAAGCCGAATTTTCGTCCTCCAAGAAGAGCAGAGAGGGACGATGCATCAGCCCCGCATCCGTCCGTCGAGGTCCACGTCGAGGTGTGGTATCATTTCCTGCACAAAGCAAGGTGCTGGATTCTCGCATCGAAGCGGGGCCCTGCTGCAATTCTCTATCCGAAGCGATGCTCTTGCTAGTGAGGATCAGGCGCGTAAGGTGTTCCACTTGACCTCTCAGCTCTTGCTTCTGCTTCTGAGCAGCTGCCACATCCCGCTCTGCTTCTTCACGGCGGCTTTCGAGATCCTTTACCGAGGAGTCGTCTAGCGCTGCTCCTGCCGAGGACACGACGCCGCTGACACTCTTTTCCAGCTTCGCTCTCAGCTTGTCAAGCTCCCGACGGTAGCGCTGAAGAAGCGCCTTGTCGTCCACTACTGTGCCACGTCTTGCGCGAGTGGTGACCATCTTGCATCTGCGTCCAAATTTGAGGGTGCTCAAGCTTTCGACTGCGTGCTCTTTTAGCGGGCTGAGCGTACAGACGACGGCCACTCTAGCGTTCCCTCCAAGCGAGTTCTGCAGAAGCCTAGTCAGTTTCGAGTCGCGGTACGGAATATGCTGAGAAGCGGCTTGGTTGCTGCCTGTGCCATCATCCTTTTCACAAGCTTCGGATAGTTTGGCGATGACGGTGCCCAGAGTGAGCAGAGACTTGTTGATGAAGGCTCCCTCCTTGCGTCTGTCCTGAGACGATGCAGCGCGCTCACTGCCCGCTAGATCAATGAGGTTGAGCTGGCTGATGCGCACTTCGCTACCCTGCACTTGCTTATCGCGACTCTCGATTGTGATGGTAAAGACGCAATGGGACCTGCTGCTGCGTTCATTCCAGTCCGTCGCTGCTTGATGCCGGTGTCTCTGTCCAGCCTCGAGCAGCGACAACACATCCTCGGGCGACGTCACAATGTCCTCCCGCAGGCCCACCACCTGCACCCTGCTGGGTCCTTCGATGATGCGCAGTGCTCCTCCCGAGGCTGCGTTCGAAGGCGTGTGACCACCTTTGGTGGGCGAAGCTGGACGAGCATCATCGCTGCCATCCTGAAGCGAGCCGCTCTTGACTCTAGCTGGCAAGGGCGCCAGGAGATCCCGCAGCGTCTCATTATATATCTCGAGGTAGGACACGCGCAACAGGAACTCTCGCGAATCGTCCTGCGGTGTGCAAGCAGGGACATCAGCACGTCATCAGCGACCCGCTGCTCGTGTCAGGGTAGACGTGCACTTTTTGCAACTCACGCTTTCTACGCCTCTCCAAACTTCATCAACCGCTCTGCTGATAACACCAGGCTCTTCTTTCGACCCGCTCATGGTGTGCGTCTTTCCGCTTCCCGTCTGTCCATACGCGAAGACGGTGCCATTGTACCCTTGGACAGCAGCAGTGACAAGAGGACTGATGTGTTGCTCGTACATGACATCCGTGGACGCCTCTGGGGTTACGAGCGAGTCGAAACAAAAGTCGTAGGTAGAGCTGCCATCGAGCTCGTTGTTGGATGGTGAGGCGGCCATGAGCGCGCTGCTGGACGTCGAAGGCTGAGGAGCTGACGAGGGTGCTCGCTTGGCCAGCGAGGGATGTTGATCAGTGGGACATATCTTCTGATTCGCTGCATCCAGCGTCCAGATGGGCTCCACAGGCTGACCATTCGACGCCGGCCGCATCCTTACGCAGACGACGACGTTCTGCTTGGCAGGAGCAGCGCTTGGTCCCGGACCAGAGCTGAGCTCAGCCGGATCGTCCAGCTCGATATCACTCATCTCTGCGCTTGTTGCCGATGTTGAAGCGCTTTGCGAGTCGCCGTCTTGCAGATCACCGAGTGAGAATGTGGACGAAGAGCGAGAACCTGTAGCCGTGATGCCCGTTATGCGCGTCTCTGCCACTTTGCCTTTGCTGGGCGACGAGCTGATCCCAGCAGGGCGATTGTTGCTGTGGGACTTGTCGGGCGAGGTCTTTGAGCCTTTGGCAATCCTTGCCGACTTCCGTGTAGGTGTCGAGGGAGCTGCAGAATCCGAGTCGATGGAGTGGGAGGAGATGGAACGTCGAAGGGTGTTGAAGGGCGAGTGATCGGCATTCGTCGATCGAGAGGGTGATAGTCCCGCGCGAAACATCGCAGAGTATCGCCGTTGAGGACGAAGAGAAGAGAAGCGCGTGCAAGCAGTCACGTCCCGCAACTGGCAGTGTTGATGGAGCTTGTCGGAGGGAAGGGGGGACGCAGATGGGTGGAGATGGGTGGGGATGCTTGGCCGGGCGGTGGAGTGACCTGCTTGGTGGTGAATGTCGTCCTTGTTCTCAGCCAGAATAAGAAACAGCAAGTAAGCGTCGTAGTCCTGTTTATGTGTGCGATATATTCGGCCTTCGTCAATGATCGATGGCCCCGTGACTGTGGACAAGCAGCGTGATGAGAGCGGCTAGCTTGGCTACAGGCAGGCCGCATGGCTTGATTGAGCGTCACACGAGACAGCATGTCGAACAAACACCGGGAAATTGAAGCGCAG